TGTAAGTCAAAGGCGGACCGTCTGCCAGATTGGAAAGATAGGTAAGAGAGGTTGGCGGCGGCTTCGTTGGAGGTAAATTCCTGCGAGTCGTGGTAAACCAGGCAGTTGACAAAAATGTGAAGACCGATATAGGTACCGACAAACCTCACAGAGAGGAAGAGGGTGTCGTTCCATGATACATGGGTAGGCGAGTATGGCCATCGCAGTGACGGGAGTGATTACTCTCCGAGTACTGGCAACGGTGGTACAAAACAACTAAGATGGCCACAAACCTAAAAGCGGTTAAATAAAGTGCAGTTTGTTATGGTGCATGTCCGCCCACAGTTGTTGCTAACGGCCACGAACACGGGCAGAGATGACTGAAAAATAATCTCTGAACGGAATACCTCCATAGGAAACCGAAAGATCATGCACCGCTGACCGTGCAGCAGCAGCAGCAGCAGCAGCAGCAGCAGCATCCGCTTGTTCATTGTCCTGCACATCAATGTGTCCAGGGACACGACAGAAAACGACATCTTTGTTTTTGCTAGCCACACAGCACAACCATAGCTGAATACGAATGACTGGTGGATGAGGGGAATCAAATTGTTTAATGGCTTGTAAAACAGTGAAGGAATCTGAAATGATCATAAACGTCGAAGGAAACGTATGTAATACGGAGAAGTGCTATGAGGATGGCATACAAATCGGCAGTAAAAATACTAGCCGAGTCTAACAAATGACCTCAGACAACATCGTCAGGGAACACTGCCGCGAACCCAACATCGTCAGAAGATTTAGAACCGTCTGTATAAACAACGGCATGAGCATGAGACCGGAAGTGATCAAGAAAAAGAGAGCGAGAAGCAGTCGTAGGTAGGAAAGCTTTGGCGCACGGCAGTAGGGGAGAACAGACATGAACCGTTAGAACCTCCCAAGGGGGATGCTAAATGAGCATACAAGGGAGGCAACGGGAGAGAAGACCGGTGTGAGTGAAGGCGAAGAGAAAAAGGTCGGAGTAAACAGGGGCGTCGAACAAGTAACAAGCTTCTACTAACGTCTGAGACCAACCTATATGTAGACGGAACTCGAAGGTTGAGAGAGTAGATAAAGTAACCCTGATGATGAAAGGGATCTAACTTAGTGGTAGAAGCTGCAGAATAGACTTGGTCGCCATAATCCCTCTTGGACAAGACTAAGGTGGAATGCAAAGGAGAGTCCGGCGATCTGGTCCTCATGAACGATGAGCAAAAAGTTTAAGAGGATTCAGCCGACCATGGCAAGCTGCCTTCGAAGAGAAAATGTGAGGTTTCTATGTCAACCAGTTATCAAAGAAAAGGCCAAGAAACTTGACCATAAAACATTCTGCAATACGTGAGCCGTGTAAATACAATGGAATATCTAGGACAAGAGGACGTCTAGTGAAGGTAATGAAATGAGTTTTCGTACTAGCAAAATTAAATTCATGAGAAGTGGCCCAATGGGAAACTCGGTCAATCGCATCTTGAAGGGAGGCTGCTACCAGGCGACGGTCAGAGCCTGTGTAAGCTATAGCGAAGTTATCCACATAAAGTGACGACAAAATATGTGACGGAAGAACGGAAGGTAGGTCATATATAACCAAGAGTAAAAGGGTAGTGCTAAGGATACAACCTTGTGGGACTCCCTCGGCCTGAACAAAGTCTGAGAAAAGCGAGGCGCCAACAATGACACGAAAATGTCTGTCAGATAAGAAGGCAGAAAGGGAAGTTGGTAGATTACTGCGGAGGCCTAAGGAGTGGGCCTGGGCTAAAATGTTATACCTTCAAGTGGCATCATATGCCTTCTTAAGATCAAAAAAGACTGCTAGGATGGAGTGTTTCTTGGCAAAGGCATTTTGCACATGCATATCTAAAGTGGAGTAAGGGGTCCAAGGTAGAGCGGCCCTTGCGAAAGCCATAGTGGCGAGGAGAAAGACTATTGTGAGTCTTCAAATACTATATCACACGTCTATTCCATCACTTTGCAGACTACACTGGTCAGAGCAATGGGACAATAGTGAGAAGTTTCAAACCCCGAGGTGACTGATTTATGAAACGGTAGTACACTGGCAGATTTCCTTTGCTGAGGGAGAACCCCCTCGCGTCCAAATAAGGTTGAAAAGACGCAAAAGGACTGTAAGGGCTGTAGAATGCAGATGGTATAGTATACTGATATGAATATAATCAGGCCCAGCTGCCGATGACTAGCAAGTGGAAAGTGGGTGTCGCATAGGTTGTTTTTGGGTGGAATAAGCATACATCGAAGAACCGTCATCAGCAAATAGTCTGGAACGTTCAGGTGTAGTACCATGGGTGGCCCAACCTGAGGGAGGTGGGCAATCCGAAAACTGTCGCACCATATTCAGGGAAGCTGGATGCATAGTTAAAGGCGCGCAAGAGGCAGAGGCACTAGAAGAAACAGGTGGAGCCTCAGCATCTGGAACAGGTGACGAAGTGTCACCAGCAGAAGGTACAGTGGTATGGGAAGAGTCTGGAGAATCGTCCAATAATGAAGCCGGGTCAGAACAGGATGTTTTAACAAACAGGGGCCGGGAAGGAGGAGGGTTATCATGGAATGAAGACTCCATGATGTTGGTACTTTTCTTATATTATTTTTTAAGAAATAAAAGAAAGAAGGAAAGAAAAAAAAGGGACAGTGGAGGGACAGTCGCTAGAAGGCATGAAAGGGCTGCAAGTTCCTCTTCTCATCCGAGAGGATCTCGAGACCACGAGCGTGCAGATGCAGCATGGAACTTGTGCCATACCTTACCCCATCATGCCAGTAACCAGCACTCCGGGATAGCAACCTCACATCTACCGAGCCACCTCGGCGGGCAAAAGAGAGGGCAGTCCACAGTCCGAAACCTGCCACAAAGCATACCTCCTCCGGCTGCCACTTCCCAGAACTGACAGGCAGCCTCTGGAGATACTCCCGTCACCTGCAGGACACCCCCCCCGCTTCTCGGAAATTTGGGAAGGGAGCAGGGCGCCTGGAGATAATTCAGATTCCACGGCAAACTACACCACACCCGAGGATCCTCATGGACTGGGATGACCCCGGGTATACTTCCCCCTACCTAGAAATCGTAGTTTTGAAAAATATAAAGATTTCTTTCGTTTTATATAAATTGGATTCATTCATAATTAAAAAAATTTTGGGGAAGAAATTAATGATACATTAGACAAGTAAAAAATCTTAATGCTTGGGTAAAGTATTAGGGGGGTTTTTCACAGAGTGGGGCGTTGTCACCATGGGTGTGAGGTGTAGCCTTGTTGTGGTTACGCGATTGTGAAGTATAGTCTTGACCCTTTATATGCCTTCCTGTTGATTTTTTGTTTCTTATAGTTCCTTGATAATGTCAGAATTTCACGAAAGCGTTGGATTTGGGTATTCTTTCACAGTGGTTTTTTGCATATTGTGATATCCCCCTGTTTACTGTGATCTTATCGCCCCGAAACGCACGCACCACGCACGCACGCACGCACCCCACGCACCACGCACGCACGCAGCACGAAAACGCACGCACGCACACACGCACGCAACCCGCACGCACACACGCACGCACGCAACGACACCACCGCACACAACGCACGCACGCACACACGCACGCACACACGCACGCAACAAAACCACGCACACACGCACGCACACAGCACCGGCACACGCACGCCAGACGCACGCAACCACAACAACACACAACACACACACACACACCACACACACACACACCACAATATGTATATATATATTTATATGTGGGTGAAAAATAGGCAGAATTGCGATTTTGGGCCCTTAAATAGCAACCTCATCTTCCCATAGGGACAAGCAAAAATTTGTGTATGCAATAATTTCCGTCAAAATCATTCTGAACCTAACGAGAAAAATCCTACACTGTTTTATTTATATTAAATTTTCTGTAAAAAAATCTAAAAATATTTAGTTGGGTTAGGCTAAAATAAATTTTTCTTGTTATAATAAGGTTAGGTAAGTTTTCTAAGATTTATTGGAGCAAAATTTTAAAATTTTTTACATTACACATTATTGAAAAAATATATCTTTAACGTATAGAGAAAATTTTAGAAAGGATTTAATTTTAAAATGAGTTCTGCTAATTTACCAGTTTTACATATTCGGCTGCCTTGGATCAATACGTGTAGCGCAAGCTACACGCCAAGGTATTGTCCAGTGTGGGTAGATTGTAAAGCACTGCGTACCTTGTCTAAGGTTCGTAGGTTCGAGTCTCCTTCAGCCAGAGATCAGTGTTTGTTTATATATATTATATATATATATATAATATATATATATATATATAATATATATATATATAATGTCTTGCCGAATATGTAAAACTGGTCAATTAGCAAGAGCTCATTTAAAATTAAGTCCTTTCTTAAATTTTCTTTTATACGTTTAAAGATATATATTTTTCATTAATGTTAATGTAAAAATTTTTAATTTTGCACCAAAAGAATCTTAGAAAACTTACCTAACCTTATTATAACAAGCGCAATTTATTTTAGCCTAACCCAACTAAATATATTTTAGATTTATTTATAATAATTTAATACTAAACAAACACAGTGACATATTTTTTTCGTTAGGTTCAGAATGATTTTGGTGAAATTATTGCATACACAAATTTTCACTTGTCCTATATGGCAAGATGAGCGTTGCTATTTAAGCAAGATCGCAAGTTCTGCCTATTCGGCAGAACTTGCCGAATAGGTAAGGAGGAATTCATAGTCACTGCAGTAACCTAAGTGACGGGATAGCACAGGTAGTTTGTTCGTTATTAGGTTAGTTACCTACTAGTTAACAGGAGGTAAGTGTTAGTAATTGTTACCTACTTCTCAAGTTAAGGGTCAAATGATTTAGGAAAAAATGAACTTAAAAAACTGAGAGTACTTGTATATATTAACAAGGCTTTCATTAAAAACTTTTAAAACAAAAGAGCCCAAGAATTTAAAGATTAGGCTCCGAGGACCAGGCTGAAGACTCACATTGAGACGTTGAGGAAGAGTGAGAGGATGAACCGTTGTAGATGGCCAGTGAAATGTACTTGGACTCGTTGAATATCAGAGGGCGCCTTCCTCACCATGATGCAGAGTCGGATCCCCCAGACCAGGAACATCATCTCCACTGTAATAGGTTGTTGGTGTTCGTTACAAGGTAGTTAATAATTGTCACGTGGTAGTTTCCGTAGTTACACCACTCTTTATGAAGTGGTTGTGTCGTACTAATCAACATTCTCCACTGGAATAAATATTAATTTCACACTAGTCGTTAAAATCTACACAAGAACAGATAACGAAAGTTGTAAGGTGTTCATAAAGTCTTCATAATACAGTTAATCTTATAACAACGTAAGTCTTCCTAACAGCAAAAAAAAATTTCATTTTAACAGAGGAAACCTCATTATGACAGAGCAAGATTTCATTATTGCAGAACATGAATCATTATGGCAGAGCAAGCTGAGAAAAAATTAATTATATTTAAGCTCCTCTCCATTACTTTAACATCTCGTAATATACATGTCTCCGCTAAAGAGATCTTTGGGAATGCAAAAATAAGGCTACAAAATTTTGCCGAACTCTTCCCCCCCCCCCAATTCCCCTCCCCCAAAAAGCAAAAAAATGACATAAACTATTTAAGTAGTTTAATAGCTGGTACACAAGAAAATATAAACCATGCCCAAATTCTGGCCGAGGAGCAATACTTATAACAGCCGCTAACTCAAGACGAGATTATTTAGGTCCAGCTATAGAATGAATCATTTCAATGGTGAATACTGACGTTATTTCTAACGTAAAAAGGATCCGGTGATGCTAGTAGTTGCCTTCACATGAGGAAAATAAGTAATTTTATAAAAAAAAAAAAAAATGTGAAAAGCAGCCAGAAGCCAGATACTGTCTGTCTCTGTCTGTCTCTGTCTCTGTCTGTCTCTGTCTCTGTCTGTCTCTGTCAGGTCTGTCTCTGTCTCTGTCTCTGTTCTCTGCTCTGTCTGTCTCTGTCTCTGTCTGTCTCTGTCCTGTCTGTTCTCTCTCTCTGTCTCTCTGTCTGTCTCTCTCTCTCCTACTGTCTTCTGTCCTCCTCTCTGTCTCTGTCCGTGTTCCGCTCGTCTCTCTCTGTCTCAGTCTCTCTGTTCTCTCTCTGTCACTCTCTGTCTCTCCTCTGTCTCTCTCGTCTCTCTCTGTCTCTCTCTGTCTCTCTCTGTCTCTCTCTGTCTCTGTCTCTCTCTGTCCTCTGTCTCTCTGTCTCTCTCTCTCTCTCTTCTCTCTCTCTCTCTCACACAACACACACACACACACACACACACCCACACAACAAACACCACAACACACACACCACACACACACACACACACACACACACACACACACACACACACAGAAGTATTTCCTATCAGTAATAGAGTAGTTAGGAAGTGAATATCTGGCAATGAATGGTAGTGGATGCAGGAACTATACATAGTTTTAAGACGAGGTATAATAAAGCTCAAGGAGCCAGGGAGAAGAGGACCTAGTAGCGGTCGGTGAAGAGGCGGGGGCCAGGAGCATGAGTCTCGACCCCTGCAACCACAAGTAAGTGAGGGAATTAGTGAGTGTACACAACACACACACATCACACACACACAACACACACACACACACACACCACACCACACACACTCACACAACACACACACAGAACGTGATAGGTAAAGTGTCTAGAACTGGTTTCTAACACTAAGGTTGTAATGAGATACGGGAGCGGGAAAACATTATAAAATTTAATAACACTGGTGATAGATTAATCAGGGACACATCGTAATAAACAAAAACTCACAGAAATTGACAGAGTAGACAGGACACTGGAAAGGATGGAAAACAGGAACTCAGATACAGCTGGAGTTGAATACACAAACCACAGCCACAAAGATGTCCAGGAAGTATTTCATCAGTCTCAGGTGGTCCAGAAATTGGGAATTATCTCGACCAAGAATGTGGATAAGAGTATACTGGCATATAAAACTTTAGAATACGATAGGGCACTACGATGTACAAGGAGTGAATCTTCCACGATGAAAGGCGGGGGGCAAGAGCTAGGAAAACGATCTCTGCAAACCAATATAGGTAGAACATAAACAGTAAGGAGACAGACCTTACTAGCAGTAAAGACTGGTCCCCCCAATCAGTAAGAACACAAGAAGGCCTTCAGGTCCGTCCGCAGTCATCGACACTATTACCTGAAGCAAACAAACAATCCTCAAAAAAATGTGTTGAAAAAACGGGGAAAAGGTCAGTCCTCCTCTCTTCCTCTCTCTCTCTCACCTCTCTCTGTATGTATATTAATATATATATATATATATATATATATAATATAATGTATTTATTATGCCGTGCCGAATAGGTAAAACTTGCGATTTGCTATATAGCAACAACTTTTTCATTCCGAAAAAGGTAAGAGAAAATTGGCATTGCAATAATTCGCAAAAAATCATTCCAAACCTCACGAAAAAATATATAATTCATTTTTTGTTTATAAATTGCTGTAAACTTTAAGAAAAAGATTTAAGTTGGGATTAGGCTAAAAAATTGGCGCTTGTTATAATTGGTTAAGTAATTCTCTAAGGTTGCTTTTGGTACAAAAAATATTATTTTTTTTTTAACAAAATAAAAACATATCTATAAGCGCATAAGAAAAATTTTTTAGAAAGCAAACTAATTTTAAATGAGTTCTTGCTAATTGACCAGTGTTGTGTGTGGTGTGTGTGTGAGGGTGTGTGTGTGTGTGTGTGTGTTTTATTTGTGTGTTGTAAGTATAATATATAATATATATATATATATATAAATATAAATATAATATATATATAAAATATATAAATATAATATATTGGTGTGTGTTGAGTGTGAGCAAAGTAACAATGAAGGGATTCCGGGAAACTGGCAGCCGAATCTTAGTCCCCTGGAGATGGGAAGTACAGTGTCTGCACTCAGCAGGAAGGGTGTTTAATGTTGCATTCCATAAACCATAGTGTATAGCATCCCTCTGGAAGAACAGTGATGGAGTGAATGATGAAAAGTTTTTCTTTTTCGTCCACCCTGCCTGGTGGGAATCGGTCGTTTTGTGCTAAAAATAATAAAATAAATTATATATATATAAATATCTCTATATAAATATATATATATATATATATATCTATATATATATCTATCTATATATATACACTGTATCTATATAAATTCATGCCAACCCGTCTTGCTAGAGTGTGGCCTACACCTACAGTTTAACAACAACATCAACACCCCTCCTTCAGAGTGCCGACACTGTATTTCCCACCTGCAGAACTCGAGTCCGCTTGCAGGTTTCCATGATCCCATCATAAATGTTTACCTTGCTCACACTTCCACAGCACGTCAATCATCAAACCATTCATCTCCACTTGCTCATATTTTACCACATTTACGCAGCGGCCCTGGCCTGGATGTCTAAGCCCCATACACACAACACCTCCTTTACCCTCTCCCGCCAGCCTTTCCTGGTTAACCTTTCAGTGCCTTTTCTTCCACAACTGATTTATACATTGACCAAGTCATTCCTATTTTGGTTCCAACCTTCTCTAAAAGTCCGATCCACCTCAACAACCCCTTCTCAGCCTTCTGGATAATCCTTTTTGTAACAACCCCATAATCTCACAATTTCCAGACTATGGATTCTCTTGAGCCGTTATATTCACATCACACATGACCTATACACGACACTTCACTTTCCTCCAGCCTTGTTGTTGCAACATTCTGCAGTCGTGCTTCACAACCAAATAAAAGCTTGGATTAACTACACTTTCATACATCCCTCCTCTTTGCTTCCATTGAATAATCGTTCTTTGTTGTCTCCACACTCTTCAGTGCACCCACCATTTTTTTTCCCTCAATCGTTTCTATGATTTCACCTCGTTTTCATAGATCCATCTGCTGACAAGTTCGCTCCCAGATATTTGAATACATTAATTTCGTTCCCCACACTCCATCCCTCCCAATCCGACATAACAATCCATCATTACCCAATTTTATCTTCATCACCTTACTCTTTTTTTTGTTTTTCCCCCCCGAAATTTTTTTGTTTTTTGCTTTCAATTTCCTTCTTTTAATTTCACACCCTCCAAACTCGTCACCAACCACTACATCTTCTCTCCATAAATCTCGCAAAAGCAACAGTGTCCATCAGCAAAAAGTAACTGTGACAATTCCCACTTTGTGTTAGATTCTTCATCTTTTCATCCCACACTCTTGCTAACAACCCGAGCGTTCACTTCTCTTACAACCCCGCTATACTGGAACATCCATGGTGACATCATGCATCTCTTACTAAGACCTACATTTACTGGGAAATAATCGCCCTTTTCTCATTACAATGGCTCTAATCGGACCACACTATCCTTCGTAAAAAACTCTTCACTCTGAAGAAGCCTCAGTAACCTATCTCCTATTCCCATAATTTGCAACATCTGCCACATTGCCCCCCTATCTACCCTATCATACTCCTTTTTTCCAATCATAAATCAACAAAAACCTCTTTACCCTTATTTACATACTGTTCACGTATGATTTAACACTGTAAACTCTTGATATACACACCCATTCCCTTCCTTGTTCAGTCTGCTGTTCTACTGTCTTACTCTATTCTACATACACTTTACCAGGTAGATTCAACAGGTTATACTCCGATAATTTTTTGCGCTCATCCTTAGACCCCTTTGCCTTTATACAAAGGGACAATGCATGCTCTCTGCCAGTCCCTAGGTACTTTACCTTCTTCTCTACTTTAAATAAAAACACCAGCCACTCCAAAACATAATCCCCCACCTATTAAACATTTCTGTCTTTGATCTCATCAATCCGAGCTCTTAATCCCCTTTCATTCTAACCTCATGCACCTCTCCCACACTCGCACCTGCCTCTCCTCACTCCACAAGATGCTGTAACTTCCCTGCCCAATACCATGAAATCACAGCATCCCTGTCTTCACAACAATCCAACAGTTCCTCAAAGTAATCCCCTCTCTTCCAACCAATAACCTCCTATTTTTAAAAATGTCAAATAGTTCATTCCCTAGGCTTTC